GTATAAATAGAAGCAGAGTTCTTTACGGTAACCTTCCCCGTAAGGCTTACCGTAAAGAACTGTCCATCCCCCATGTTTAACGGAATAATATACAGCCTATGTCCACTCTGAAGTTCCATTCTAAATATTGGTGAAAAAATTTTTGAAATCGGATGAGTAGTTTCGGAGATTACCTGCTGCATACAAACTAACATACATACATACAAACATTACCTCTTTATAATATTAGTATAGATAATAAAATTGAATATACAAACATACCCACAGGTACTACTTGCTGTCTTGATGCCTTTTTCCGAAACCAGAGTCGTGGTCCCTTTCCTCCAGGTAAATCTATACCTTTACTATACAATGATTGTTTTTTCCCTAAATAAAATAAAAAAATATAAATTTTAAATGTAGACATATACATATATATTGATTTCAAAGACATAAATTAATTACCTTTGCATTTTTCAACTAATTTTTTAAACATATAAGGGAACACTGCAATAATGTTCATTGGTGATGGTGATGGAAGCATTTTATTCATATCTCTTATTAGTTTTGCTCTTCCAAACTTCCACTCCGTATCTGACTGAGCTTCAATTCTTTGATATGTGTTAGACATCATAGCTATAAGTAAGTTGATTAATACGACTACAGTAACCATCATGTATACTCCAAATACTATTTTTAAAATAACTTTAGCAAATCCTGGACTTAAATGCTGAGGTGGCATGTAGTCAGGTTCTACTAAACCAAATAATGCAAAAAACAACATTTCAAATGTGTTAATGGGTGATTGAAATTCTTGACCATATGTGGGCAATGTTATTCCTTCTTCGGGTGGAAAAACTGGTTGATAGACAGCACATAAATGAAGTGAGAAACCTGTTAAAAATATTGTCAAAATGGCCAAAAACCGAAGTAAATCTTTCATTAAATCTTGAATGATGACTGCCCATGGTCCAAACAAATGATGAAATGTGAGGAAATTTAGAAATTCTAAGAATCCAAGTAACAGCAAAAATGCCAAGAATTGATTTCTAATGTATATAATAATTTGTCTAGTTTTCTCATCAGAAAATAAAAATCCAAATAAGTGTACAGCAATAGCACATATTCCTAATATTAACATGGCTGCTTTGATCCAACCAAGACCTTCACGATCTCTTGGATTTGTAAAATTTGCTACCAGGAGTCCAGCAAGCCATATTACTAATGCACATTCATGTGGATGGGGATAAAGAGTGGTGGATGTCCATATGGGAAACCAAGGATTAATTACTGTAAAGCAAACAATAAGTATGAAAAATATATGAGATACTAGATATGACATAAATTTCATGATTGGAGTATCAGCGTATTTATGATTAAGTGGAAAGGTAAATGCAAGCCATGTGAGTGGGCACACAAGAAAAAGTAAAAACAATAATAAAATCTTCCATGTGGCCCAAGTTAAATTACCCATCCACTGTTCGGACAGGTAGCTTTGTACGGCAGGGTGTGCTACTACTTCTTTTAATTGAAGTTCGATCAGAACATCCAAAAATGGCATACTTCGAGAATCCAATGCACGCAAAACAGTTCCAACATTTTCACTACTTGAAATAACGGAAAGCAAATCAAAAGCCATATTTTGACAAAACAATGCTGCCCTTTCTAAATCACGTGATCGTTCTTTCTCTCTAAAAGCAAGCAATTGGTAGCTTCGAGCCATTTTTACAGCTGTATCTACTGGTGCAGGTGATGCTATTATAAATTCCAAAATTGGCATATTTTCATACTGTTTTCCACAAGCCATTATATCTACTAGAAACTACATGAAAAGAAAAAGAAAAATAGTTTTAAAATATTTTAAAATTATTAAGAAAAATACTAATAAATAAATGATTCTTTGATTACCTTTCTAGTTTCTATTAAAGCCATTGAGTCATGTTCTTTAGTTAATAAATATTTTAAAATATTATAATGACCTGTACTTGCAGCACATGCTAATGGTATTGCTCCATCCTTTAAAGATAAATAGAAATAAATATCACAAAACAAAAAATATTAAAAATAATATTTTCTTGCTGCAGCAAAGTTTTATTAAGAGAGAGATGTGAAGAAAGTGAATAGAAGAAATGATTGTGGTATTCAGAGAAGTAAAGTGCAATCTCAAAACTAAGAAAGGCAATATTATTTATTGTAGATCATCTACATAGAAAGGTACTTTTCACTGCTTTAGACCAGCCCACCATCTTAATATTCTCTCTTATTCTTATTTATTTACCATCACTTGTACAATCATATAATTTTAGTTGTAAGTACATTTATCATGCTTAAATAAAAGGAGTTTGTTATGTGATAATTTACTGTTACATATGTATCTGGTAATATAAAATAAATTCTTACTTAAAGTTTCTGTGTATCTACCACCCATAGAAACAAACAATTAAAACAATTTTAATTAATTAAAAATATTATTTTTTACCATTATTATTAATAAACTAGCAGATGAGCCCAGTGTTGCTCGAGCAAAAAGTAATGATAGAGAAGATTAAGATTATTAGTTTATAGCCAGTCTTACCCATTTTCAATGGGTGCAAGAATTAGGTCCCTCCTCTTCTAAAACTAATTACATAATTTTTAGGTGGGTCTAAAAATATGTTCAATTTCCCACAAAAACAGAAAAACCACATCTAATAAGTACAGTAGAAGCCAAGTTCTTCAGGATAAGCCTTAACCCTCACCCTCTCTCTCTCCCCATGGGGGGAGGGAATTTCGAAAAATCCCTTCTTAGTGTACATTCCCATGACATACCCTGTGTACCAAATTTCAACTTTCTATTCCTAACCATTTGGGCACTGCACTTATTATTATAATTATTATTATCAACCCGTCTCGATTATATTATAAGATTAATAACATTAACAGTAATAAGCACAATTAAATATCTAAATTCCAGATTTTTCAAATTGTAATTCAGTTAAACTCCAATTAATAAAATTAAGTAATTTGGTCTAAAGATAGTTGATTAGCTTGTCATATTTAATTAATATTACTAATTAAATAATTTAGAATAATCTGGAAGAAAAGATTGACCCAAAGTAGACTTGAAGTGCAGCTTCTGTTTACCATGCAGAAACATACCAGTTACAATCCGCGCATTCTTTTATTCAGCAGTACTCTGAGCAGTTGCTGCCGGAAATGATGTTTTCGCTGCTGACGGTTGAAAACACTTTTGCTGTAGAAAGCGCTATCTCAAAATGGCTGATATAAACAATGATTTTCTTCCTGCTATATTTACTTGCATATTAGAAGAAAAGCCATTAAGTTTGATGTTAATTATAAGAAAACAAGGAAATGATGATTTATTTATGGCATTGGCAATGACTGATTCCCAATNGAAAGGGACCAATCAAAAGGGTGAGATTCGGGGAAAATCTTATAAAACCCCCGAATCTCAAGGACACGGAGCAGATTCTCTCCAAGACGCCAGGCCCGCAGCACACGGACACATACTCAAGAGGTCAGGATAGCAGATTCTCTCCAAGACGCCAGGCCCGCAGCACACGGACACATACTCAAGAGGTCAGGATAGCCGAGTCTCAGCCGTGCACTGGACCCCCACCATCCAGAACGCCATAACCGCCGAGCACCGCTGCATCATCGGACACCTGAACATCGGACACCTGAACTCAATGAGGTAGCTACTGACGATCTTGCGTACAAAGATCGTCAGTAGCTACCTCATTGAGCCCCGGGGCACAGAAGAAGCGAAGTCTCAGCCGGCCAACGAACTTATTTTGTTATTCCTGTTGTGTAAGTTAACTTCATGTCAAAATAAACGGTTTTCGTGTAAGACACTTGTCATCTCTGTCTCCTACCGCCACCACCCACATACGGTTTGACCCTAGGTTTTCCTGACGCGCAATTAACGTATTGCCCCCAAAATCGGCGAACTTACACTATGCATTAAATTTAAAATATCCCTGCACACTGTTTTCTGGACACACCTTTAGTTTTAAGTTCCTCATCCACAGGCTACTCACCCAGCATGGAAACAAACTGTTCCTGGAAATCTGCCAACAGACGCCCTTGTGACATGGCCATATATTAAAACTTCAGAACGTACTTCCACTATGACACATAGCCTGCCGTAAATGTAAATGTACATTATAGATGGACTTTTCAATGATGATGAGGTTTACTTGTTGAGCTCATCATCATTTCCACTCAGAGAATAAAAATACAAGGCAACAAGCCTTGTATTTTTATTCTGAGTGGAAAGTGGGACATTTAGGTATAGGCATCTTGGCAAGACAAACAGGACAATGTGGGACATCTGGTCACTTTATCCTAATAACTTAAATTGGAGACAATACAGCTGCACTTTGTTACTGTTTCTTTACATTATTATAATCATTTGCCTTTGTTTTTTTTTTTTTTTTGAACAAATGAAAAATTTAGAATGTTTCTTCATTAATAAAATGCAATCTTTATTCTTGTTAGTAAAAATAACATTAATTTATAGGGGTAGGTAACCATTATGGACTCCTAAGTTTTTTCTGGGCATGGAAAAAATTTCCAGTTCCCCTTTCTCAATAGTCCTGAGGACAACCATTATCACAGTTTGTACCAATTTTGAAAATTCACTCAATTAACATTAGCATTTAACTTTTTGTTGAATATTGAAAACTAGAAAACTGCTGTATATCCTATTAAAATGAGTAATTATACACTGAAATCTGATTAATTTTGTAAGAAACCAAGTCCGAGCATTATTTTTATTTACTTTTATATTTGCTTTTTATTCTATTTTTGTTTGGTGTTTATGTTTTGTTAGGATGAAGGTTTCCTCACCAATCACCTTAGAAACTTAAAAATAGAAGAGAAACTAACTCACTGACGAGAAAAAGCTCCGTAGATAAAACTTGCGCACACTTGCGCTCCTGAGCAGAAAAAAGTAAGTCCGCACCGACGAAAGGGGGGAGACCCCACAAGCATAACTTAGGACCTTGCTAAACCTTAAAGAATAAAAACATCCCNGTTCGATGTTATTTATAAGAAAACAAGGAAATGATGATTTATTTATGGCATTGACGATGACTGATTCCCAACAACGAAGAAAGCGTGCAAAAATCGTTGGTTACGTTCACAATATCGTACTGCAGTATTCGAATGAAATCTTTAAAATCCAGTTTCGTATGTCACGATTAAAAATCTGCTCATTTAAAACAGCAAAAAACTGATTATTAGTTGGTAGTCGAAAAAGATACTTTTTCATGGAGGCATCCATCTTGTAAGCACTATTTTTAGTGTGGTCGAGAGGTGCTGCTAGTGCTCTGAAAGTGCACCTTAAGCGCACTAACAGTAGGCTTAATAATTGAACACATGTGCTAAAAGTGCTGCAAGTGCACTGAATAAAAGAATGCACGGGATATCTAGACCTGGCCAATCTTTATACAGACTATTATAGGATACACATTTCCCAGAATTCAAAAAATTTCAAAGTCTCTCTTGTAGGAGTTAAAGAATGAAATCAAGTTCCAGTGAAATGAAGAATACAAAGCAGCATTTGAGAAGTTAAAAGAAATATTGATATCTAGCCCACTTTTGCAGATTTTAACAGATTATTTATCTTAGCAACAGATGAGATGTGTCCAATTTAGCACTTGGTGCAGTGTTGTCACAGGAAGACAAACACGGAGAACTTCCAATGGCATATGCTAGCTGACTACTTAAGAAAGTTGAAGTCACTTAATATTTTAAATTGAATGATTAAAGATCACCAAAAGCATTAAAAACGTAATGCATCTAAACATTTCAAATAGGTAGATAAAATGTTGTTATGGTGTTAGAATAGTATCAGAAAAACCATAAAAAAGAGAGTTACAAAAACATCAAAAGCATAAAACAGATAATTTAATGAAATCCGCATAAAAAAGCATAATTTAAATGTTTGCAGCATTAATCTGTATGCCAAAAGGACAAAATTACATAAAAAAAACTTGAAGAAGTGTTATCCAACCTTTTTTATGTAATTTTCTCCATTTGAACCTTTTCATTTGATCATTCAGCATTAACAGAAGGACAGGAAGTAAAGGGAGACAAATTCCAGGTTTTCCTATCTTTCTAATAATAATTTGTGTGAAAATCTGCTGTTTTCAAAGTTTTGTGCTACTTTTACAATATCAGATCTGGCAACACTAGCAATACTATTGCTAGCAGAATTGGCATATGACATGTCGCACGTTGTTCTATCTGACACAGACTGTAGAAAAAGTCAAACTAACTATTTTTGTGCCCAGATTGTGTCAGATATTTGTTGATTGCCTGTATGGAACTTCTGGTTTTGAGGATGTGGTGTTACCACACCAATTATTGTTTTATATTTTCATTTATTTTTTTATTTATTTCCCACCATTAGTTCACAATAGAGGCAGCTGCTCCTTCCTTTCTAACTTTTAATAGGGGGTATTTAAGGTTTCCCCTGGCATTCTTTGACCTCTTTTTGACTTTTCTCTTCCAGACATGAGAAGGTGGAAATTATGAGTGAAAACAGGTTAATCTATGAGGGAATGAGAAACGACAATAAAGGGAAGAAATTAACCAAATTTTAAATCCATCACCATTAAGTGTTGTTTGCAACATTCTTTTGGATAGACAGATTTTGAAAATTTAACTTCAACAAAATCCAATAGGACAAACTCTATAGTTTCAATTTTGGTGCATCCACAAGATTGTTTGGGCCTTCAAAGAAAGAAAGGAAAGGTATTGATTTAAACTACATGCAAATCATTGTATCACTGATTTCTCTAACTGTTACGTGGCTCATTACATCCTTTTATCAAGTTCCCCAAACAATTGTGCGCGTTGGGAACTATACGGTAAATCAAGGTAAATCATTGGTATGCCTTGAAGGTTCTGATTGATTGTATTAGTATCACATGGTTTGCTTTTGATTAATAAGTAATATGAAGTTTACATTAGTGCTATATTGACATTATTTCATATTCTGGTTTAAT